ATTAACTCTTTCCCCGCCAGGCAAAATTTACACTTTACATCAAGTTAGAACCAGGGGCTCAGCAGCTGGAACACACTCCTGGCTGCTCTGAGCTCCTTCTGCCTTTTGTTGTAAGAAGATCCTGATTTCCAAAATCTTAACATTTCCAGTGTTTCCTTTATAATGAAGAAATTCCATGAAGAAATGCCATGTATTTAAAACTAATTGATTTCAGATTTTATATCCTCTAGGCTAGCATCAGATATTCAAATTGCCTTGGGGGCTCAGGCAGGTAACCTTGTATAGTAACAGTAGGGCTTGCAGAAGCCTGTGGGGAACTGACGATCACATGCTCTGCCAACTGATATTTACATTCCGTTTCCAAGAAAATTACAGCCAATTACATCCTGTAGGACCTTATTTATCTAATCTCTGCTTGACATCATAAATTATGATGAAACCCTGTATCATAATTATGTTTCTATAAATTGTTATTTCTAGCAGGTTTTTATTTTAGGTCCTCTTCTCCGAAGACTCTGGTATTGCACGTTCCTCTGTGATGAGGTATTTTATCTGGGTGAGATCACTTTTAACCTATTTGGTGTCTCTTCCTTGGTATTTTACTTCGCTATATTTTACAGTTCCCTCTCTTCCTTTTCTATCTTTTAGTCTCTTCTGCTCCTGACCTGCTCTCTGCCTTTTGTAGGGGAAGAAAAGTCCTATTCCCTCCACCTTCTAGGTTCTTAGCCAAGACACCCCTGTAATAAAGAGATTAACAGGAGAAAAAAACAAACAAAAGCTTAAGAAAGTGTACACCTGGAGGAGGCCCAAGAAAACTGAGTAGCTCCTCAAAATGGCCCAAGCCCCCACTTTAATACCATGAAAACAAAAGGCGCTTAGGGTGGGGAGTCAGTTACAGGAGGTTACCAGAAAAGGCACAGTAAATAAGGGTAAAGTTGTTATGTAGCTTTTAAAAAGACTTATTTATTTGAGAGAGGGAGCTAGCGAGCACAAGTTGGGGGGTGGGGGAAGGGCAGAGGGAGAGAATTTCTCAAGCAGAATCCCCACTGAGTGCAGAGCCCTAGCTGGGGCTTGATCTCAACGTCTGTGAAATCATGACCTGAGCGGAAATCAGGAGTCAGATGCTCAGCCAGCTGAGCCACCAGGTGCCCCGGTTATGCAGATTTAAGTTGTTGTCATCTCCTTTGATAGGCGTTCCTAGAGACTTAGGGTCTTTTCTTCTGGGTACAGAGAGGGAGACAGCCTTACAGATGGAGATTTCCTGCATAAATGTGAATGTCCCTTACAAAAGCTTTGTTTTCAGAGCTGCTCCTGTGTTTGCAGTTTTTGTTTTTTGTTTTTTTTTAATAATGAGTCTAAAATAATTGTCATGCCAAAGAGGTATATTTTGGTGTGACAAATTCTGCTCTCCTTCAGTTTTCATGCTGGAGTCTGGTGGCCCTGTGTTCTCGGGGGACCAGAACATGAAATAGCAGTCCGTCCCTCTTCCATTGAAGCCCAGCCTAAAATAATGTCTTTTATTCTCTCTTCCTTTTTATTTAGCATCCTTCATTCTCTTTTAATGTGTTATTTGACTGTTAAATATTTAATGATTATGTAAATGACAGTGTTGTCAACTAATCTATGCCAGTTTGCTCATTCACAAATTTATACCAATGGTATTCAGTATATAGAGGTAGGTGAAAGTGATGAATATTCCCTCCATGCTTTCCTATCCAACTACAAAGCAAAAAAAAAAAAAAAAAAAGTTTCAGATGGAATCTAAGGGGCAGAATCCAGGTTCTTTGTCTGGTCTAATGATTAGATTGCCATAAGACAGATCAACAAGAGAAAAAAAAATTGATTATATACCTATGGGAGCCCCACAGAGATGTGGAGACTCAGGCAGTCAGGTAACTGAGGCTTGTCTACCATCCAGAACTAAGGAAGAGGGTGTAGGGGGTCCGAGACTTCAAAGAGGAGGAAGACAATTGACAGGATGAGAAGAGCAAATGTTTGGTAAGCAAATGTTTGCTATGCCATGCAGATAAGTCTTTCTGAGAGAAAAAGTTTTCTCTGGTAACAGCTTGTTTGCTGGTACAGGGTCCCTATCTAAATTCTTGGAAGCAGTTAAGGGGGAGGTAAAAAGTTCATCTGGAGTCTGCTGGGCCCCAGTTGTCTTCAGGTTGAAATAACCCACAGGCCAAAGTGGTACATTCTGGGATGGCCTGTTTTGCTCCCTTTCACTCCCTTTACCGAAAGCTCAGAGAAGCTCCAGCTCTTTTGCCCTTTTAGGTCTTCCAGTATTTTTTTTCTCCTTTACTTTTTAAAAATTGAGATACAGAATTTGCCATTTTAATATGTCCAGCACAATTCAGTGTCCGACATCTTTTTCTTTTAAAGATTTATTTATTTATTGGAGAGAGAGAGAGAGAGAGCGCGAGAGGGAATGCGAGTGAGGGGAGAAGCAAGGGGAGGGGGGAGAGAATCCTCAAGCAGACTCCCTGCTGAGCAAGGAGCCCTACACAGGGTTCCATCTCAGGATCCCAAGATCATGATGTTAGCCAAAATCGAGAGTCGGACGCTCAACCATCTGAGCCACCCAGGCACCCCAACATCTTTGTTATTAATTGAGGCAAAATTGACATAACATAAAATCAATCATTAGCCATTTTAAAGTGTGCAATTTAGTGCCATCTAGTATATTCACAGTGTTGTGTAACCATCACTTCTAACCAGTTCCAAGACATTTTCATCACCCCCGAAGGAAACCCTATATCCATCCAACAGCATCTTACCGGAAATGCTCACTCAACACAAATAGGACAGCATTTTTGAAGTGGGTTTAGCTAACCTTCTAACTGGAGGCAGGCCAGATGAATTTTCCAAGAAAACAACTAAACACAGGACCATTTTGGAATGAAGCCAAAGGTGCCATTTTGAAAGGGAAGAGATCTCTGGGTTTGCTAGATTCTTAGAACCTGTTGTAGTAAAGATGGTGCCTCCTTTTTAACTGATCTGTTCATTTTGAATATAGTCATTTAACTAAGTACAACTCATTTCTCACATCCTATGTGGTAATTAACAACATTTCCTGTGTTGATCAAATATAAACTACTGAGGCATTTTGTCAGCCACTTCGGAAGTGTGGGCTTCTGAAAGAAATTTGCTACTTCTGGAGCATATATTCCTAATTAGGGTAACTTAGCACCCTGAGAGGGTAGATGATACCATACAGACTGACTCATATATAGGACATTGTCCATGTTGAATTACTATAGTATTACATCATATACACCATTAACTTTTGCAACTCTAATTACAAAAATTGATTTAAAAAATGAGTGTAGAGGGAATATTAAAACGGAGCTCTGAAGGAACATGTGTCCCAAAGCAAGCTTGAAAGCATGATCGGGTTGCTATGTTGAGAGAGAGTGATTCCAATGGTTAAAAATAGGTATTATTCATACAATATGGCACCTAAGCCTAAGAAATCTATCTCACCTAGTCTTCAACATGGAAGAAAAATGGGCTGTGTTATACTTACTGAGAGGCCCAGTTTTCCAAAATGGTTAAAGAATTTTCAAGGGTGTTTTTGATGATCTCTGATTTTTACTCTACTTCATTTTATTTTTTTAAAGATTTAATTATTTGAGAGAGAAAGAATGAGAGATGGAGGGCATGAGCAGGAAGAGGGGGAGAGGGAGAAGGAGAGAAATAGACTCCCCAATGAACGCAGAACCCGACATGAGGCTCAACATGGGGCTTCGTCTCACAACCCTGGAATTATAACCTGAGCTCAAATCAAGAGTCAGCCACTCAGCTAACTGAGTAACCCTGATTTTTACTGTAATTACTTTATAAACCACCTCTGCCACCTGAGTCCCTCTCCAACACTCCCCCCCGCCCAGCACATACACAGTGTAAGATGAGACTCACCGGCATTAAGCTAGGCTCTTTGAATTTCCTGAAGAAGTTTAAGGTGGGCTCTCCAGAGCACTGAAAGAATTTCAGATCTGCCTATTGAGAGAATATTCAGAAAGAATATTATCTTGTCTGTATAGTAGTACCCCCCCATCCATGAGGTATATGTTCCAAAACCCCCAGTGGATGCCTGAAACCACAAGTAATACTGAACCCTATATACCGTTTTTTTTCTTATGCATACATACCTATGATGAAGATCAATTGGTAAAATAAGCACGGTAAGAGTTTAATAACAATAAGTAATAAAAAAACCATTATAACAATGTACTGTAATAAGTTATGTGAACGTGGTCTCTCCCTCAAAATATCTTATTGTACTCACCCTTCTTCTTGTGATGACATAAGACGATGAAACACCTACATGATGAGATGAAGTGAGGTGGATGGTGTAAGCATTGTGATGTAGTGGTAGGCTCCTATTTTTTTTTAAAGATTTTTTAAATTTATTTGAGGGGGAGAGAGATGGAGAGGGCAGGAGTGTGGGGGGGAGGGGCAGAGTGAGAGAGAGAAGCAGACTCCCCACTGAGCAGGGAGCCTGATGCAGGGCTCGATCCCAGGACCCTGGGATCATGACCTGAGCTGAAGGCAGCAACCCAGGTGCCCCAGTGGTAGGCTCCTTTTGACCTGAACATATGGCAGAGGGAGGGTCATCTGCTTCTGGACCCAGCTGACTGCCGGTATCTGAAACTGCAGGATGCAAAACCGTGGCTAAGGGGGGAGCCTACTGTAACCTACATCTAGAATCCCATTGTGAAATTCCAAAGCCAGAAAATAGATCAGTTTATAGTAGAACTGAATGATGGATTTGTGGCTTGAATATCATTTCCTTATTCTAACTAGGCAGTGATGCAAATATAATCTTTATATATGGTAACTTAGATTGTGTGTCTGTTCTCAGAGCTAATGTGTAAAACGTCTTTGTAAAAATCTCAACTTTTTGCTTTTAAATTAACAAGTATGCAGGTAGGAGCTGTATGGATTCTGAGTTTGCTGAAATTTTTTCATTTCTTAGTTTCTAATTATGATTCCAACAGGTATTATCTTTTGATGCCTATTTAGAAGATGAAGTACCTGATAAAAGCCAAGAAAACTACAGAATAAGACGCTATAAAATCTACTTCTACCTTGAAGATGACACAATTCAAGTAAACGAACCAGAGTTGAAAAATAGTGGAATGCCTCAAGGTATCTATTTAAAGCAGAGTTATGCTTCTCTTACTTCCGATGCCTGCCTTTGTATACTGTCTTTTTCTAGCTTTTTAGAAAATACCGTCTACCGCTTAGGTGTCTAACTTGTTGGTGACAATGAACATAAACATGCTGGTAGCTTCTGGTCGTTGATGGTGACTTCCCTCCTTTTTACCCCCCACACCTCACCATGGGCCGTTTCACTCACTCTTGTACAGCATATTCGTTTTCTGTCAGGCACTGCTCTAGTTGGAGCAGACTTTCCTGTGTATCTGGTCTTTTCACTATGACCATATTACTGCCTTCGCAACATTTTCCGGGCGAAGAGAGGAGGCTGTTGTCCACTGCCCCTTCCAGATCTGTATTCGCTCTTCTTTCTTGAATTCGCTGCTGTTAGCTTCAGCCACCCTCTCCTCATACCTGTTCTCTTGAAACTTTGATGGTTCTTCAGGAACAGAGGGTCATTGCTCCTTCACCCCCATATGCCAGTCACCTTTGTCCATGGTCCTTTTCAGCCTGACAAGAGTTAATTCTGTGACATGGGTACCAGAGAAACTAATCCTAAATTGCATTATTAGAAGTAGGGCGGAGATCCGGGGAGATGACTGATCTCTTCTGTTTGTGCTCTGAGTCCTTCACTTGGGACAGTGCTGAGATCTGGATGTGTTCAGGGGACAGCAACCATGGTGGTAAAAGGACTGAAAATTTGTGTGTGAGGCAGAAGAGTGAAAAGGATATTTGTCCATAAAGGGAAGACTCCAGTATGCCTGGTTAATGTCCTCAGGAACCTGAAGGGCTGCTATGGGGAGGAAGGGTGACCTAATTTTCTGTATCCTCAACGCTAGGATCTAGGGGGTCAGAATTTAGGTAGGTAAGAAGAATTTTCTGGCTGCCAGAGGTTGTGGTGGATGGTTCTGAATGAGCGTGGGGGGTCAGTGTTGGGTGTAGGGGTGGAGAGGGATGGCCTAATTTGTTTGGTCCTTGGTATACATGGATACTTGGGGGCAGGACAGGGGTTCTTTTTCACGGATAGCTTAGTAGAGGCATGGTGGACGGGAGTCAGGTGTTAGTTTGGTGGTTAGTGTAGATGACCTCAGAGGCCACTTCGAGCCCTCAGGAGTCATAATTCTTAGGTACATTTATTGTCCCTGTCTTTTCTGGAGTATTGCCATCTTTGGTACCTTAGGCTCTGAAATTGCCTTCTCCACTACAGTCTCTACTCCTTTGACATTCCTTAATTGTTCATACCTACTATCCTTGTTTTCCATTCTGCTAGCAAAACATATCCTGAATCTTTGTCTCTCTATGCCCTTTGCTGTCCTCCTAATCCAAGCTGCCTTCGTTCCTTGACTAGAGGAAGGCAATAGCCTCCTGATAGGTCTCTCTGCATCCATTTCTGCTCCTCCTACAACCTGTTCTCTACCCGGCAACCAGAGTATTGTAGGGGGTGTAACCCGAGGCAGTGGTGGCCTCCACGAAGCATGCCTGCAGGCTTTCCCAGAGGCCACCAGACCCAATGAAAATGCATCAATCACATGGTGCACTAAAACAATTAAAAATATACAATGAGAAGCAAGGGGAAAGAAATGTCATAAATTCACACACACAGGACAAGGTACAAGTGCGTGGAAGATTGACTCTGCCTAAATCCAGGGGTGGGCAATGGTCCTGTCTGTCTTTGCTGTGTCAGCCTATTCTGCCAGTAGTGCGGTTTGGAGACCAGAATTGAAGTTCAAGCAAGGAGGACCCCAGACAGGGGGGACCTTGGGCTATTGGCACACACACTGCTGGAGAGACAGGGGGATAAGTGGGCCTGGCCACAGCTGTAGCTCACCAGTAAGCCTGCTGAATAGTCATGGGTTTTGTTTGTTTCTTGGGGAAAGGACACATGGGGCCAGAATGGGTGTCACCAATGAATGAGTGGCCGAATTAAGGCCTCATGAATACTGAGTACTCATGAATATTTACTGCTTTTGTATATTTAGTGCATCATGAATATTCAGAGACCAGGTGCCTCATATATATTTAATACATATGGGAAATTAATTATCTCCTGGTCTTTGCATCCCTTTCTTTATATGTTTGACATACACATGTTCTATTTACTATCTACTTATTGTTGTTTAACACATCTCAGGAGTTTTGACCAATGCTGAATAAATTTTTTCCTTAGTAACGACTTTTCTGGGCCCATTGCGTCCATGTTGATATACCACAGTGGGTTTGACGGGGGAGAAACAGAGAAATTTGTGGACCGTGGGCCTCTGAGTATAAGGTGTGATGAGGCAGTATGCGAAGGACTTCCTTCAGTGTTTATGAGATTGAGGTTTTCTTGGACTGTAGCTCCATTGCGTCTGGATGATGAATCTGGGGTCAGTCACCATGGTCAAGAAGTGTCTATTGAATATCTACTCTGTGCCAGACCTGTGCTGGGTTTTGGGAGAATGGACAAAAGTAAGAAGACCTCCATCTCATAGAGCTTATGGGCAAGCAGTTTGGAGAGGGAAGGGAGCAAGGTGACTAGTCCAAGAATTTTGCAATTATTCCGGTTAGAACAAACAAAGACAGTGATGGTAGGGATAGGAAACAGAGGAAAGATTTTAGAGACATTTGGTTGGCAGATTTGATAGGCCTTGACCAGCAATTAAATATAGAGAATGAGGAAGGGGAATATCTAATGATAAAGTATCTACTTTATCATTATCTCATTTAATCCCCCTACGACCATCTAAAGTAGGTCATTGTTAGCTTTTACAGAAAAAGAAACAGGTTTAGAGAGGTAATTTGCTTCATCTAAATCTTAACTGATTGCCTCAGAGCTCACTCTGTGGTTGAGGTTTTCAGTCACTTTGTGGTTGCAAGGATGGTGGTGCATTTGCAAAACCCAGAAGCATGGAGCAAGGAGCAACACTGGGGGTAGAGGTTGGTTATGTTTGTTTGGACACATGAAGCCTTTGAACGTGGGTTGGGACATCTGTATGGTGACGCCCACCAGGCAGGTAGAATCTTGGGATGTTTTCAGAAAGAAAGTCAAGACTGGAGATGTGGACCGGGAATCAAGGGTGCCCAGATCATGAATGGAATCATTTGGCTTATTCTGCCACATTAGAAGAGAGGCACTGTTGAGGTGGTGAAAGAAGGAAGAAGATTGGACACAGTGTCTGTACTTGGTTTTTCTAGTGGAGGGAGAAAGTGAGGATTGGTTGAAGGAGATGATACGAGGTGTCCTCATTGTTCTTTGTGCCCCGACATACTATCCACTCACGGGTCTTTTAATTTGGATGGAAGTATGATGCTTTGTAAACGAACAAGAAGTCTTTAGACCCTTCAGAGTCATTTTTTTTAAAAGATTATTTATTTAAGAGAGAGAGGGCAAGAGCACAAGCAGAGTATGGCCTAGGTGGCTCAGTCAATTAAGTGTCTGCCTTTGGCTCAGGTCACGATCCCAGGGTCTTGGAATCAAGTCCCTGCGTCGGGCTCCCTGCTTAGCAGGTAATCTGCTTCTGCCTCTGCCTCTCCATCTGCTTGTGCTCTCTCTCTGTGTCAAATAAATAAATAAAATCATAAAAAAAAAAAAAAAAGCAAGAAGCCTAGTAAGGGAATATCAGAGTAAAGCATTTAAGTGAACATAAATATGATACATTTTTATAAATATATATTCTTACTAATATAAAATATTTATAAGAAAATATGTTCTCCTAAGGCAATACTGTCACTTATATAATTAAACACACTTAGGTAAAAGAGACGTTCATAGAATTTAAAAGTTCTGAATTTTCTTTCTGTTCAGAAGTAATTCTTCTTACCTGTTAGAGAAAGAGAGATTGCGAGCGCGTGCACGATTGGGGCGTCTGAACAAGGAGCCTGATGCGGCATTCGATCCCATGACACTGGGATCATGATCTGAGCTGAAGGAGATGCCCAACCAACTGAGCCAACCAGGGGGCCCATCTTGCTTATTTTTTGATGACTTTCCTCACATGACTTCAGATGTACACAAATGACAGACAGGAGGTCACAGAACATCCTGAACATTTATCAGTGACTTATATATTTTTTCTTATTATCCTTTTTAATTGAAAGCTCATATTCCTGCAGCTTACTGGCCTTGTCTAGTGAGTCTTTAGTTTTATTACACTATCCAAGAAGAAAAATGAAATGCAACCTCAATGAGGATCTTGGAAAGGCTTTTATAAGACTTTTCAGTTCTCTCAGCCTCTTGATTTCATATCTCACATTGGTGGATTCCAGAGGTAAACTGGAGTTAGTTATAATGATTTGTTTGAAATTAATTCTTAGGTGAGTAGGGAGGATTGTGATTCATAAAGACTCATGGGGGGAAGAAAACCAACTCTGAGTAAAAGACAACTTTAAAGCCTCTTGAAAATTTCAGAATTTCTGATTGAGTCTCTCTGACCAGGCTCTCTCTGACCAGTTTCCCTGAGGGAAGGTACAATTCGAGGAATAGGGTAGGGAATATATGGTCATCGTGATATGTATAACAAGACTGAATTTGTCAGGAGAGATACTTGGCAGGCCATAGCAAGTGCTGTGGAGAAGGCAAACACAAATAACCACTCTATCATCAAGCTCTTTTTATTCAGCAAGAAACCGGTCTTTCTTGAAATACTTAATATGATAATTCTTGCTAAGGAAGGTCCATTAGGACAGAGGATACTTTGGAAAATCATTTAAGGGGCGCCTGGGTGGCTCAGTGGGTTAAGCATCTGCCTTCGGCTCAGGTCATGATCCCAGGGTCCTGGGATGGAGCCCCGCATCGGGCTCTCTGCTCAGCAGGGATCTTGCTTCTTCCTCTCTCTCTGCCTGCCTCTCTGTCAAATAAATAAATAAAATCTGGGGGGAAAATAAAGAAGAATCGCTTAAACCCCTTCTTCAGGCTTTCCTAAATGAAATGACTGGGGAAGAAGAACAAATAAGTGCAATAGGCCAGTGGCTCAGACTTCGGTGGGATGGGGTAGGGGGTGTTTCTTTAAGTT